CAAGTCAGGGGCAGACCCAGGCTGGAACTCAGGTGGTCCGTCCCCCAGCTGTGGTCACCGTTGGAAGGGATTCAGGGTGAGAGGGAGAGGACCAGTCCTTGGTCTTTGGTTGTGCTCCTCCCAAACTGTCCCTTCATCCTGTCCCAGGAGCAGATGGAGCAGCTGCTGCTGGGGGAGCAGAGCCTGGAGGCTTTCCTGCCCGCCTTCCAGCGAGGTCGTGCCCTGGCCCACCTGAGGCGGACCCAGGCTGAGAAGCTGCAGGAGCTGCTGCGGCGCCGAGAGCGGTCTGCCCAGCCAGCCCCCACTGCTGCTGCGGATCCCCCCAAACCTTTTCCTGCTGCAGCTGTCCTGCCCACTGGGGCTGCTCGGGGGCCACCAGCAGTGCCCCGGAGCCTGCCCCCCTTGGACTCCCGCCCAGTGCCCCCGTTGAAGGGCTCCCCCGGGTGCCCCCTTGGCCCAGCCCCCCTTCTGAGCCCTCGGCCCTCGCAGCCAGAGCCCCCCCACCGGTAGGATCTAGGGTATGGCCCCCCAGTGGAGGGCCCAGATAAACTTGATGCGTGGCTCCTCCTCCTCCCCAACTGCCTGGGTGGGGGGAGGGGCAGGCCCCTTCCCCTGGCCTCAGGTAGGCCCTGGCCCTGGAGGCTGAGCTGGGGAGGAGGGTCACCTGGAAGATGCCCAGAGAGGGCTGGGGGTGGGGTGGGCAGGGTGTTATGCCTCTGGCGCTGAGGAAACTCTGCCTTTTTTTGTTCCCTGTTGGGGCCTCCTGGGTGATGGGCAAGCCCCAGTGAAAGGACTCATGGGAACCTGGGAAGGTGCCCATTTCCCCCAAGGGGTCTTGCCTGGGGGGCCTATTACACCCTGCCACTCCACTGGGCTTGCACAATGCCAAGGCTGACAGGAGTGTTTTCCATCATGTCCTGAGCCTACCTTTCCCCTAGTCCTGGGGCCCACTGCCTAGGAGCCAGGTAGTCAGGCCCTAGCTGCAGGGTCAGGGACATCATGGCCCTGGGGCTATAATGTGCCCCACTCATGCTCAATACTCTGGGGCGAGGTTGGCCAGGGGCTTCTGGACCTGTACAAGTGAGAGTAGGCCATCCCCAGGAAAGATCATTCTGTATTTTTCTGTCCTGTCTCCTTAGAATGGAACCTTTTTGAGGGCAGGTCCTTGTCTTTGTATGTTCTGTCCCCAGCCCCGCCTCCCAGGGGCCGTCAATAAATGTGATGATAAGGATGACGATGCTGCACGACTCTTCTCTGCTCCCTAAACTGGCCACTCTGCTATTGCAGCCTCTGCATCTCAGCTACTGTGCTTCTTACTCTTGAGATGCCCTCCTTTCCTCTCTGCCCATCCAAAGCCCTTCTCCTGCCTCTTCCATGAAGCCTCTGATTACCAAACCATGGGAGTCTTTCCTAACTCCCAGCACTTCTAGCCAGAAGCACACTCAGCTTCTTCACTGTTCTCTAGTTGCCTCACCTGTACACACCTTCTTTTCCTGGGTCACTTATAAGCCCAGTCAGGATGGTACCCGCTCCTTCTCTGGCCTGCCAAATGACTACCCCCACTGAATGATGGAGGGGGTTCTGTAGCACTGAAGGTATCCATCTTCAGCTAGGGTAAGCACAACGTGGCCAGCTTGGCTGAGTGTGGTGGGACAAGTGATGGAGGGGGTTCTGTAGCACTGAAGGTATCCATCTTCAGCTAGGGTAAGCACAACGTGGCCAGCTTGGCTGAGTGTGGTGGGACAAGAAGATGGGAGAGCAGGAACAACATGCCCCGAATCAGCTTAGGTCAAATCTGATGAGATGAAGTTTGGCAGGGAGGCATGGAAGGTCTTGCAAATAAGAGGGGACAGACAGACTGTTGTGAAAGTTAATGTGATCTTGGTCCATGTTAATAGGAACAGAACCATCTAGAAGGAGGGAAGTGTTGGGTTGGCTCAACTTTTCACTGAAATTTTACATTGTAAGGGGGATCCCCCAAAACAGCACCTTTGGAGTAATAAGAAAGAGGATTGGGATTAAGTCCCATGTGGAACAGTTGAAGAATCTATTTGAGATACATGTGTGATGTTTAGCCTTTGAATCTCTAAAGGACTGCTCTGTGTAGAGCTAGAGGTCAGAGCCAAGATCAATGGATGGAAACCACAGGGAGCCAGATTTTGGCTCAGTATGAGGCTCTTTAAGCCAGGGTTGCTATTGGAGGTAGATAGTCGCCATCACTAACGATGCGTGAGCAGTGCCTGAGTGACTGCTTGATGGCATCTTTAGAGATTTAGGCAATAGCTAGAGAGACTGGCCCATTTGAGCTTTTGAGAGCCCTTCAAATCCAGATATTTACCACATGGTGGCACACTGATAGTGCCTATTTGAGAACCTCCATCCCACATTGGCCTTGGTTCTCCTCTGCTCACAGCAAGCACTTGAGCTGCTGGAGGCTGAGGGACACTGGAACTACAGGGTGCTTGCCTGAGGTGACAGAAGACAGTTCTGGGAGACCACCCAAATTCTAAGCACAGCCTGGGGCAGGCTGGGCCCTTCTTACTCTGGCTTCCTATTCCTGATCCATGATTTCAGGCAGTTTTTTTGTTTATAACTGAAAGAAGAAAAGGGGCTAAGGTTGGGCATATTTGAGCCTTCCTCAACTATCATGAATTGGAGAGGAGCCCCTGGAAGGTGAAGTTCAACCTCCCCCCCCTAGTGTAGGTTAAGAAGAGAAAGGAAAAACCCAAGCAATGGAGGGACATGGAGGGGTGAAAAGTGCTATCATGAAACTGGATGGGGTCTTTGAAAAGTCCTTCCATACACCTCACCTTCCCTCAGAGCTCAGATTCAGTTTTAGAGGGGTAGGGTCTAAGGCCCCTCAGGGTTCTGCTCCAGCTTGAAAAAGACCAAGGCAGGTGGATATAGATACCACCAAAGTGGAGTGGCCATGGGAAAGGATTAGAATTGGATGGTTAAAAACTTCATTAACCCCTCTGCTTGAAGGTATGTAGAATGTTCTGGAAGATTCCAGGCAGGACTCTCTTCCTGCTTGAAACCTTCTGGAACTTCCTGTTCCCAGGTTCTGGGGCTCCAGGGAATGTTCCTGGCTGTAATCCTCTGTGAGAGAACTGAAGGGTCTAAATCAAGGAGCCCCTAAGAAAGGTCCCACCTATTATAGACCACCAGTGCTCTTACAAGCCAAAAACAAAAAGTTGCCCAAATAACAAAATTCCCATCCTTTCTTGATAGAAACAAGGAGTTCATGCCCCTTGAGAAAGTCTTAAACTCCCTTGTTTAGGAATCACTTCTATTTTCCTAAACTTCTCCCCTTGTTTTCCAAATATAAAACATAACAACATTATTATTATTTTTTTTTTTGCCAATCAATGCTTACTGACCTAAGTTGGCCTGAACCAGAGTGGGCTCAAATCTTTACTACTGAATTGTGTGGCCACTGCAAAGCTACCGCTAAGAACTTGCCCCTAACCTCCAGGGATAGAGAGAATTAGATGGTTTCCAAGAGACCAAGTTAGACTAGCTGTGGATTTATCCCAATTTATACAAGCATTTACACAACAGATTGATTGAAGGAATTGGTGTTTCTGTATCAGAGGACCTCTGGCTTTGTCTAGGACCTTGCCATTGCTATAGACCTCTCCAAAGATTCTTCTTGTCCCACAGGTAAATAAGATTTACACTCTGCCTTCCTGCACAAAGTATAGGTTCTTATGTATGATGTATCCTAGGGATCTGCAAACTCAAATACCTTTAGGGGCCAGGAAGATCACAGTGGCACAAAGCAGTCCATTTCCACAAAGAAATACACCTTCTCACATTTTTCTGGAAATGCATGGTCCTTTTTCAAAAATTTTCCTCTCAATAAACATGGAATTTTATACTTCTCTACTGCTGGAAGTATAGCAAAATGGGGAGAAACAGCCTATCTAAAAGGCAAATGTTACAGCTTTTTCTAGGCAGTATCTCAGTTATGAACACAATGGCGTAACATTTTATTTTTTTGAGAGAAAACAAATCTAGATTTTTACGCAAAGTCTCCCAAGTTATGTTGGCTAAAGTTATTTTATTTTTTACGCTTACAGCACCTGGTATTCCTAGATGGTCTCCCATCCAAGTACTAACCAGACCCGACCTTGCTTAGCTTCTGAGATCAGACGAGATCAAGCCTGTTCAGGGTGGCATGGCCATGGATGGCTAAAGTTATTTTAAGACACTGTGCCAGCCACAAATACCATATGAACCACAAATATTGGTCTTGCTTCTTTTGTCTAGTAGCAGTCCCCTCCTAGCACTGAGAGTGTGAACACTGAAGAGGCAAAGGGAGGATGGGAGGGCCAACCTACTTCAAGATTAGTGACAGGACCCCCAGTTTGGACAGCCTTAGGAGAGTGGTGTGATGGCTAGATCCATAGTGATACTATGACTTCAAGATATATGGTGAAGGTGAACTCTCTGCACTGGCTTCTTGGGGATGAGAGCACTGAGCATTCTCAGCATATGCAAGTTCACAAGGTCCAGACTCAGGTCTATCATTCTAACACAATAACAAAGGGATCCTCAGTTGCTTTGCACAAACCCTATGGAGGACAGGGCTATAAGCTAAGCCTGAGAACAAGCAAGGCAGGCCTTCTTCTATGATCCTGATCATCGTCAAGTGGCAGTCTGGCGTGATCTCATCACAGGGCTGAGGAACTGAGAGGAGGCAAAGGCCAAGAGAGAGCCCACTTTTCTAGTTCCCTGAATACAAGAGAGTGAATTTAAGTAGTACCACTACTTACCAGCTGTCTCTTCTCTCAGCTTCTCTTCATGAGATCTGGTGACCTTCCAGGAAGCCCAAAGGTCTAAGACATAGCCCCTCAACCCTCATTATTTTCCTAAAAGGGAATATGGTGGCCACTCTCTGGGCTCTACCCTTTGGTGTCTGTGCCTCAGTATCAGAGGTGTATGTGTATACACAGACACACACGCGTGCAGTCAGTAATGACCAGATGGACAACTCATTGGCCTAAAGTAGGCTACTCTTATTTGTCTCAAGCTGGAAACAATACAGTGAACAAGGTACATCCTATGACCAAAATGCCTCTTCAGAAGGAAGCAGGAAATCCTACTCTCTCAGCGCTGGGATCTGTACAGGATTTCACTCAGCAATAAAGGGCAACAGAGGGAAAAGAAGTTTGGCTCAGGAGAAATAAAGTCCTGGTCAAGTCCAAAGACAATTGCCTAGACACATACAACTTTGTTCCTGTCTTGTCTATGCCTCCTCATTTAGGACCTGTGTGTGCTGCTCATTCAGCCTTGTATTGTACTTGCACACCTATCCCTACCCCAATGAGCACAGCATGGGGCAGGCTGGACCCCTCCTGTCTATCTGTTGAAAGGGACTAAAGTTGAGTGTGTCTGAGCCTTCTTCCACCATCAAGAATTGGGGAACAGCTGCTAGAAGGCAGGGACTAATGTCCATGGCCAGGTTCAGCCTCTCCTCCCCAGGGTTGGAAGGAAGATATGTTACCATGGGGACCAGTTGGGGGGGAGTGGGCAGTCCTACAGAAAGTCTCCTACATGCCTCCCCTTACATAAAAAGACCAGACTCCAGTATAGAGAAGGTTGGGAGTGGGGGTGTCTGAGAGTTCAGATCTAGCTAAAAAAAAAAAAACAATAAACAAACACCTGAGGCAGGGAGAATGGCACTATTACAGTGGGCCTAGTTCTAGGCCTAAGAAGCTGATTTAGATGGTTAATAAATTTTACTTACTACCCTGCTTAGAGTTATATGGAATGTTCTGGAATGTTCCAGAAGTTTCACATAGTCTGGATACCGCCCCCCTCCCCCGCCCCATACACCAGAAACCTTCTGGAACTTTCTATTTCCATGTTCTGGGGCCCCAGTAAACGTTCTTGGCTATAATCTTCACATAGAGAAAACAAACTTGAAAGGTCTATGTCAAGGAGCAAAAAGATCCCAGCTATTATAGATCACCAGTGCTTTTACAAGAAAAACCCAAAAGAACCCCAAACCCTTTTGATAGAAATCTGCGAGACTTTTGCCTCCAAGGACACTGTTATGCCCTAACTGCTTGGTTGAGAATCACTAGTTTCTGCACATTTTACTATGCTTCTTAGTTTGTAATTTAAAAAAGAACAGACCTTCTCTATTTTTTTTCAAATATGAAACATAGTAACATTAAATGTTCTTTTTCAAAGTACATACTCTCTCCCTCTGCTCCCCCCCACTGAGCACAGCTGGCCTGAACCAGGGTGGGCTCAACTATTTGCTGCTGAATCCTGTGGTCACTGCAAAACCATGACTAAGAGCTTGCCTCTCACCTCCAATATTAGAATCGAATGGTTTCCAAGAGACCAACCTGAACTAGCTGTGGGTTTATCCTTTGGTTGAGAATCACTAGTTTCTGTACATTTTCCTATGCTTCATTTCCTGTAGTTTGTATTTCAAAAAGAACAGACTGTCCCTCATTTTTCAAATATGAAACATATTAACATTAAATGTTCTTTTTCAAAGTACATGTGCATCCCCCCTTCTTAAATCAAGGCTGACTGAGCATAGCTAGTCTGAACCAGGGTGGGCTCAAATTTTTACTACGGAATCATATAGTCACTACAAAGCCATGATAAGAGCTTGCCCCCCACCTCCAAGGCTAGAGAGAATTGAATGATTTTCAAGACACCAAGATGAACTAGCTGTAGGTTTATCCCAATTTATACAAGGATTTCATGCAAGAATATGAGTGCAGGAATTGGTAGTAATATACCAGAGCCCCACTGGCTTTGGTTAGATTTTAGATTTAGGCCCGCAACCCTTGTGGTAGATCGCTTGCAAAGGTTTTCCTATCACACAGCTTTAGCAGAGCACCTACAATCTCATAGCCCCCCACCCCCCACCCCATGTACATAAGGGCTAACTCAGGGTTAAGAGAGCCTGACTACTACTGCTCTAGCCAAGTGATGACTGACCAACTGCTTAGCATAAATTAGAAAAAGAAAAAAAGCTTCAGCTTTGTCTGAACAGGGAACCGTTCCCACCACATGCCTTCAGTCCTTCAGTAGTCTCACCAACTCCAAACTCTCAAAATTTCCCAGCTTCGAGCAGCCATGTTTCAAGGATTTGGCTTGTGGAGCCTGCAGTAAGCACTGTAAGCTAAATAGAATGGGTCACACTCAGATGACTCAAACTCCGTTTGTTGCTCTATTTCTGGGAGGGGATGGGCTGCACAGTTAGCAATGAGGCTAGCTGGTAAAGGGATGACCAGGTGACAAGGCACACTGTCCCAAAGACAAACTTTACTACCATCATGTTTTAGTCACTGAGCCCATTAGAACTATGGATAATAAAGTGTGGCAGATCTCAAGAGAGCAAATCATTTGCTTTCTGTTGTCATTCCCACGGAGTAACTTCTCCAAGATTATACATTAGATAAGTATGGGCAAAGGAACACTCATTCCTTATGCTCAATGACCTTGCTTTCCCACTTACACATGCCACCAACAGAAGGGAGAGTGAGGTTTGCTGACTACAGAATGGCAAGGTTTCTACATATCACATGGTTAGCTTACATCAGGTCTCACCTGTGGCTTGGGGCACTCACAGAAAGACAAGGTTTGTATAAGTTCAGAATTTTTCCTTTGGCAGCCAACAATTGGTCACATTGCACGTTTCAAGGTTACAGAGGAGCCCCAAGGTACGAACATGAGGTAGGATCAAGCAATTCTTGCTCAGAGCTTTACAATAAAGCCAGGGCAAGTGTTCCAGAAATTGACATCAGTAAGGCAACCTCTGGAAGCAGGCACTCAAAGAACTCCAGAAAACCCTTCTCTCGGACTTTCACGGCTCTTCGTTTTGAGACCTCTTTCTTGGGCATCGAAAAGCCTCCTTTTCTGGACATAGGGAGAGGGACGTGCAGGTCAACAGCTAAGCTGGGCCGGAAGGAAAGAAGAGGGGGCGGAAAGCGGTTCTTTCAGACCCCAGCGGAGGTAGACTCTGGAAGGCGAAGTGTTCATGACAGGAAAGGCCTTTTTCTGGGGATTGACTAGGGGCTGCTTCCATTCCCTTCTCTCTACGATTAAAAACGAAAGCCCAAAATGATGAAGACTGTGAGGAGAAAGATGATGAAAGTCGTGTCTCGGGTCTCGTCCCAGCGGAAGCCCTTCTTAGCCCGGTCCTCTTGCTGCTTGCGAAGGGCCTCACGCCGGGCCCTCTGGCGCCGTTCGCGCTCTAGCTGCTCTCCATAGTGCGCCTGGTAGAAGGCGTCAAAGTCGAACATGGTGCGGTTGGCGCCCGGCGCGGCTTGACCACGGCGGTGGGTCCAAGAGGCAGGCGGCGGGGCGCGGGGCGCACTGGGGTCCGCTGCGGGCGTCCTGGAAGGCCGGACGCCAGGTCCGCGCAGGTCTGCTTCGCTGAGGAGGCCGCGGTCGTACTTGCGGCGCAGGGTGGCACTGCCCAGCACTACGTATGCCTGGGAGATGAGCGTAAAGCGCTCGGCAGCCTCGGCGCTCCCCGAGTTGCGGTCTGGGTGGTAGAGAAAGCTCTGCCGGTAGTAGGCCGCCTTGATTTGCGCCTGCGTGGCTGTGGAGGGGACGCCGAGCAGCTCATAGAGCGCCGTGCGCGAGTACGGGCCGTCGCCCCGGGAGTAAGTCCTCGCTTTTAGGCCCAGGCCCGATACCCAGTTTTGTGGAGATCCTCCGGCCTGCCACAACCTCCACAATAACAGCCGCGGCCACCTTAGATCGCTCTTGGCTGCCATCTTGAATGGATCTGGCGGGCGGTGCTAAAATAAACTGGCCAATGGGAGGCGTGCGTTTTTCTCGGCACGTCGGTCCTGTAGCCAATCGAGTAAAAAAGGAGGCGGGGAGAGGGGTAGAGCATGCGTATTACGAAGAAGGCGCGGGGCCGATGACATAAAAGCCTGGCTCTGGGGGCGGCCCGCGCTAGTTGTGTAGCGCAGGCGTGAGGATGGCGTGTCGTCGACGCAGACCAGAGCTCCGCGGACCCCCAGAGCTGGTGAGGCCCGTGGCTCACGGGCACCGCCCCCCTTCCTTTTCTAGGGTTTCTGCGTTTTGATATCTCCCCCAACTACCATCTTCTCTTTCTTTTTCTCTCAGCATTACGACAAGAGTGAAGCCCGGAAATACACGCGCAAGTAAGGGAGCTTGTATGTTGCGCGGCGTCGGCGGTCGGGAACCGGCAAGTTTCCCTGATATGGGGCATTGCTTGGAAAGCACGCAGAATTTGAGGGGAGGGTGGAGGTAGGGACTTGGGGTGATCTCATTTTTTATACTGGCAAAGTCAACTTTAGTTAAATCTCCGAACCGTTTGAGCCTCAAGTTACCTCGGCATTAAAATGGAGGAGCGAAGGTACTTTCTTCAGGTTGTTTGCAAAGTTTAATGTGACAACTTGTATCAAGCATGTGATAAAATAGGCAATGGGTACGTTTGAGGGATTAGTGCTATTGTGGGGAGGGAAATAACATTCATAGAATGCTTCTTTTGTGTTCCTATCTATATTATCTCATTAAATCCTCGTGATAATTGTTGGTGTAGTATATGAATTTCACAGAGAGTAGTTATTTATTATATAAAGTCGCATAATAGGTGAAGGCTAGAGCAGAAACTTCCAGACCTATTCTTTCTGAAACACTACCCTGTTGAAAATTCTCCAGATACTTTGGAAAGCCAGATCTATTATAGGCATATTCTGTTCAATATAGTAACCAGTAGCTATCAACCATTTCTTGAAACATGTCTAGTTTGAATTATGTAGGTTGAAAATGTAAAATATTTTATTTATCATTTTTTACGTCAATTATGTGTTGAAACATTGAGGTAATTTGAGCGCATTGGGTTAACTAAAGTATATTAGATACATTGGGTTGGGTTAACTATTACAGTTAATTTACATATTTAATTTCATTTTAATTGGCTACTAGAAAGTCATGTGTGGCTTGCATTATATTCCTCATGGACAGCACTGCTATAGATTTTTGTTGTGCTTTGTTGATGCTAATATGAGAGTAATTCTCCCAAGAAACATGTTCTTAATACAACAACAAAACCTGATAGATTTGAAAATTCCTAATGGTTGGTCATTAGCTAAGTGATTTGTTCCTTTCACGTTAGCTTTGCACCTGGTACAGTTATAATTTGTGTCACAACAAATAACATGTTGATGTATTATGTGGACATAATAGTTTTACATAGTTTTAGTTGAGTTTGTTGACCAGGGAAGAGAATCTTGTTCCTTTTTCTCTTTTGGCTTTTTTTGGTCTGGGTGTGGTTTTAGCCCGAACTTTTATTACTCGCTTGTGTTTCTGCCTTCATAGCTCTCGGATGATTGATATCCAGACCAAGATGGCTGGGCGAGCGTTGGAGCTCCTTTATCTGCCTGAAGATCAGCCCTGTTACCTGTTGGATATTGGGTGAGATCCTAGGGCTCAGTTTAGATTGTTCAGGTGGTGGGGCATCTTTGTTACTCACACTGTCGAGTTCCTATTTGATTGTATCTTCCAGTTGCGGTACAGGGCTGAGTGGAGATTACCTCTCGGATGAGGGGCACTATTGGGTGGGCATTGACATCAGCCCTGCCATGCTGGGTAAGTACGTCCTATTTAACAGTGAGATGTAGTATAGAGCAGCTCTATATATTGTTTGTTTCCCTCACAACACTCTTCTCCAATGTAGATGCAGCCTTGGACCGAGATACAGAGGGAGACCTGCTTCTAGGGGACATGGGACAGGGCATCCCTTTTAAACCAGGCTCCTTTGATGGATGTATCAGGTAAGAATCTTCATGTTCTGTTTTTAGCCCTGTAGGCCAGTGTTTCCCATACCTGGCTGTGCAGCAGAGTCATAGGGGATACTTAATAGTATCCCATGGGGTTTTTAGATTTATAAGGTCAGAGTAAGGCCCCAAAACATGTATTTTTTGTTTGTTTGTTTTTGAAAACATCCTGTGATTATCTTGCACTGCCAAGTTCAGGAACCATTGGTATAGATTCTCTCTGCTTTGAGTATGTGTGGTAGGGGAGGAGTGGTCTTCTGAGCCACTAGGAGCCATCTTGTGGGCCCCAGCAGCCATTTTGTTGCATTTAGGAAGAATTCTGTAGTGGAGAGTGGCAGAAACTGGAGTCCTTTCTTGGGCAACAGGGTCAAGTTTTGAGTGTGCGCATGGTACTTTGGTAACAAATCTTAGACCTTTGAAGCTACTGTTAGAAACATGAAATTCTTTGTTTCCTGTGGTAAGTTCTGTTCAGTATTTTGTGTAGTGTTTTGTCTCTAGAGTGGAGGTACGGAATAGGAGAGGAGGAAACCATAGTTTAATCATTATCTGGGGGAGACCTGTGATTTTAGATTGAGCTGTAGGGATTCAGAGTAGGGATCTGGGAGAGTAGAAATTGAATTTGAAGGTTTATTCTAGAGTAAGGGATTAACTTGCATCTGGGAACAAGATTGGAGAAAGAAGACATTTCAAGTATAGCAATTGGTTTTTAGTAACGATTCGATGAGGTGTTCTAGGCTGCAGAAAACCAAAGGCCAATGGTATGATCTGTATGTTTTAGTAGTAAATGGTCATTTTTATTTTTTAAGCAAGATGGTATGGCTACCTTTTTTTTTTTTTTAAACATTTGTTATATGTAACATGTTTTACAAGGTGCTATGAATTTTGTGTAAATACAGTCCCTATTTTTAAGATTCTCCATGGTTTATTAGGTACTATTAAACATGGATAGATTAAACAGGCTGAGTGTGGGGTGTGCACTAGGAAGTCATGGGACGCATCGGAGTTGTGAAGAAAAGCAAGAAAGCACAAGAAAGCTTTGAAAAAGGAAGAGGGGCCTTAAAAGCTGGGAGGAATTTGGATAGTCAGGAGAGGGTGCCTTGAGTGAAGGAGTAGTGTGAGCAAAAGTCATGAAAGTGGTTGAAGAAAGGAGTCTCATTTATAGGAACAAATGAGAGATTTCATGGAAGTTGAGATTGTGTGGGGTTGGGTCCTAAAAGACTTTACACTATCCTAAGAAGTTTGGGCTTTATTCAGTAGTTGACAAGCTGGGGAGTGACAAGATCAGATTTGTGTTTTAGGAAGGTTATTTATCAGTAGAGAGAAGAGATAAGTTATCTTGTTATGGAAACAATTGAGACAGTATAAATTCTGGCTTTGGAGAGTGGTAGACGGAAGTAAAAGCTGGGAGAGGCAGTGGAACAAACCACTGGGGTTTGGAGTTCTGTGGATGTGTGCACACAGCACTGAGAAAGTGAATGTAAGAAAGGAGGACATAGTAGCTGCTCAAGGTTTTAAATTTGAAGATTGTGGAGACACTTAAACCAAATGAAGGGACTGATTTCAGAGGAGAGTGAACACATGGCTTTGTGTAAAAACTATAAAGCATGTTTCCCTTGATTTGGAGGAAAGGAATGAAGGTGTGGGTGGCAGAGAGTGCCTTGATGTGGCGAGTAACTTTGAACTTGAGATGCATTTAGAAACACGTTGAGAAGCTGTTCCTTTGGACTGACTGCAAGGAAGTTAATGCTGACCTTTTGTATGCCTTGTTTGGTCCAGTGTTGTAGAATAGTGACCTGGAATGGACCAGCATATGCCAAGAAAGGGAGCGATGGGCAGAAGGGTTTTACCTGGAGATCAAGGATATATGCTGTTTGAGTCCTGAAGGGGCAGGGGTGAGCAATGTTGCTGGTCCCTTTCCTGACTGGGTTACTTTTTTTTTTTTATAGCATTTCTGCTGTGCAGTGGCTCTGTAATGCTAACAAGAAATCTGACATCCCTGCCAAGCGCCTGTACCGCTTTTTTTCTTCTCTTTATTCTGTGCTGGTGAGTATGAGATCTTCCAATCTGGGCTGGCTGCCTGTCTCTCCCTTGCCCTGTGGGTAGAGCAGTGAAGTAGAGGCATCCCATGGCAAGGCCATTCAGATTGAATTGCATATGGTAATGGGACCTTACTGTGGTTGCTTCTGTCCAGGACCTCAGCCCAAACAGAAAGCTCAGTAGGCTGATACGTGGAAGATGCCGATGTCAGAATCTGAGATAGATTATAATTCCTGGGTCCCTTATGCTGAAATTTTCATCAGAAGTTGGTTTGGAGATATAGGCTCCACAGTAAGGAATGAGACATTGTGTCCAGGCCACACAGAGCACACCTTCCAGAGTGCCCATGTCTCATCACTGCCTCCCACTGCTGATGCTCAGATGGGGAGCAAGGTGGTTACTACCAAGAGAGCCTTTATTAACTTTATTAACTGGTGGTATTGATTTCTATTTTTTACCAGGATTAGTTGATAGTTTGAGATTCTAAGTTCTAAAAATGAGTTCTTCAATTTTTTTTTTTGAAAGATCCAGGTGTTTCTTGGTCTCGTTCTCCCCACCTTACCCCTAGCTTTCTTAGGGTAGGTTGTTCCTGCAGATGGCTGGCTGGTCCTGTGCATTATGTGGTGTGGTTTCTCTCCTGTTCATGCATTGGGGTTAATCCCAAAGTTCTGAGGGCCTTTGTGTTTGCCTCTCTGTTGAGACGTATTTCCTGTATAGGTTTAAATAATCAGCTCTCCACTATATTCAGGTCTCTGCTTAAGCATTCCTCTGAGAATGGCCGTCTTTGAACCAAAAGTAAACAGTCTTCAGTCATTCACCATTCTTTGTCCTAATGTACTTATTTTTTTGGCACTTAATCACTACTGTAAATTAGCTGCTTTCCCCACGACTGAAGTTCAGAAGGCTATCTCTTTTGTTAACAGCTGTAGACCCATCCCTAAGAACAGTTTCTTGCATACAGTGGGAACTCAGTAAATACTTAGTGAATAAGGAAGGGAGGATTATCTGGGTCCTGACCCCATGGGATATTTGTAAGATAGCGATGTTTCTGTTTCTTGTAGGTCCGTGGAGCCCGTGCTGTTCTGCAGCTGTACCCTGAGAACTCAGAGCAGGTGAGCCTCTTGGCTACTGGAGATGCAGGGAATGGGGAGGGATCCAGAACAGGTAAACTCCTGCTGTTGGGAAGTGACAGAACAAGGAAATTTATGCTGGTTGGTGGGGAGATGAGGGAATTAGTACCTGAGAGTGGTCCCTGTGGCCCCTGAAGGCATGTTTTATAACCTAATGTCCTAAAGAGGAATGATGGTGTCTGCAGAAACAGTAGGGTGTTTTTCTTCTCTTGACAGATAAGATGGTATCACAGGTAATGTTGTTAGGATGTTAGTAATATTACTGATTACTGGGGGTGAGGATATCAGTAGTTGTCTGTTCTGTGGAGTGTAATGCCATAGGAAGGAGGAGTGGGGTATGAGGAGGTAGGAGGTAGACTCTGAAAGACGGGTGAGCTGTTCCTGACTAATGCAATGAATGAGTCTGCTTCCCAATTGGTGGCGATTCATTTCCTGATATTTGAGTGGGGAGATGGGTCCCTGGACTAAAAAAATGAGAATTGCTTGTTCTGTATTCTCCCAAGGGAGGTGTATGCTGCATCTCGCCTGCACTTTCCTCTGTGTGGCTTTTGGGGACTCAGAATTGGGAAGTCTGATAAAGAAGACCTTTAGTTCTCCTAGGCAGAGTCCATCATGGGACTAGACTGGCTTCTTTAGGGGACCGAGGGGGAGCACCCTGCTCCACCATCCTCCCTGCATGACTCATCGCTGTTCTCTCCGCAGTTGGAGCTGATCACAACCCAGGCCATCAAGGCTGGCTTCACTGGTGGTGTGGTGGTGGACTACCCCAACAGTGCCAAAGCAAAGAAGTGAGTGCTTGGGGGCCAGTGTGCTGCCTATGATGTTGGAGAGAGGGTGGTGGTGTTGACAGTAGTGTTGGATTGGGTCCCCAGGATGCATGTAGGAGGCCCTGACTTTCTGCACCTGTTTATGGAAGGGAGGGTGAGGACTTGCCTTGCCTTGCAAGGCTTTTGTGAGTCCAGCCCTCACCTTGCACTTTCTTGTTTCAGGTTTTACCTCTGTTTGTTTTCTGGACCATCAACCTTTCTGCCAAAGGTGAGGGACCCTGATTTGCAGCCCCATGTCTTTTGGGTTCCCGTCTTGTGGGGCTGAACCTAGTACCAGTTGGAAGGGCTCAGGCCTTCTGGGGTATGTATGGTAGGTGGGTTAAGAGATCTCCAGAGTGATCTAAGAGCACTTTGGTTCCTGCAGGGCCTGAACGAAAATGACGAAGAGGAAGAGGCCAGGGAATCTACATTCACAAATGAGAGGTAAAGCAATTGTTCAGCCCTGCTTAAGGTGCAGGGGGTTGTTGCTGCTGAGTTTACTAGACATGGCAGAGGAAAGTGGAGGTGGCAAGACTACTCCATTTCTCTCTGCTTTCACCAAGTCTCGGGTTCATATGTAGTGGTGACATCAAGGTGGTAATGGAACCAGGGAACCCCTTGAGACTGTATCTGTTCTGCCTGTCCTTCCCTGAGGCTGCCTCTTCCACCCCTGTCTGGAGCCCATCCTCTCTTGGCTCCTTTGGCTCTTCCTTTCCTTTATCTCTATTTTCCTGGGCCATTCCCATAAGCATACAAGTGTGCTGCACAATTTCTCCCATTTTCAAAAAGATCCTCAGTTAACCCCATAACACCTCCTAGCTACCACCCTGTTTATCTTCTTTCCTATCACAAAACTCCTACTTGCTTCTTGTTTCCTCCCCTACCATTCTCTCAGTCCTCTTTCTTGGCTCATGCTTACTCATTTCAAATTGCTTTTGCCAAGGCCACCACCACCCTTTTGTGCCAAATCTATGGTCATTTCTCAGTCTTTTTTTTCCTACTCTGTTCTTAACTTGCTTTCTCAGTAGGCTCAGCTGATACAGCCAATAACTCGCTTAAGACTTTCCTCACTTGGCTTCCCACTCACTATCTTGGTTTTCTCTTAGCCTCACTGTTCCTTCTCAGTCCACTCTGCTGGCCCCCTCCTCTAGAGCACTCTGGGGTCCAGCCTGGACCCCTTCTCTCTCCGTGCTGCCTTAAATACCAACTATTGGTTCTTAACTCCCAGATTTATATCCTTGGTCTCAATCCTACCTCTGAGTTCCAAACTGCCCTCTAAGTATCCATACCTGAAATTCCCACAGATGTCTTGAGCAAAACTGAGCTCTTGGTTTTTACCCCTAAACTGCTTTTCTCCATTCTTTACCATTCTCAATCATTCCTGTCTTCCTTACATCTCATATCCAGTCAGTCCATCGGCAAGTCCTGCACCCTTCGCTTCAGTGTACCACTTCCAACCCTTTCCTCATTCCCACCTTGTCTTAAGTCACCACCATTCTTTCCTATATTACTGAAAGCTGCCTCTCTTGTCTCCTTGCTTTTAGTCTTTGCTTCTCTCCATTTTCTTTTCTGCGCTGCAGCAAGACGGATTCTTTCCTTTTTCTTTGATTTTTTTAAAAAAATATCTTGCCGTGTTCCTGTTTATTCTTTATTTTCTTTGACATCTTTAACTACTGTGAATCGTGTATTTGTTTACTTGGTTATTTGTATCCCCAACTAGAATGAAAACTTGGTGGGAACTGGTTTTATATTCCTGACATCAGAAGAGTATCTTGTTAGTGAAAGGTATTCAATGTTTGTTGAATAAATAATTGTTTATAAGATAGTGAAGGAGGAGGTTTTCTCTTAGTTCTAATGGATATGAGTGGAAGGTCTCAGGACTTTGAAGACTTTTTTAAGAGGAAAAATGGGCAGAGAATGAATGAGTTTGGAAGGCCCACCAGTAGTGAAAATCATGAGTATTCCTCATATCCACTACAGTATCATGGTGTCTGACCACTTGACCCTCAGTAGTCATCTGTCTTAGCTTCCTTAGCCTATTCCTCATGGAGACTTAGGGACTCTTCTAGATGTTTCCTGTTGTGAGACACCCATCAGTTGCTCCCAGTGAGTGGTCCCATCTCCTACTTCACGGAAGTACATGTTGTTTAACTCCCTCCATCCATCTTAGGATCCCTCTTGTCCTCACACCGGTGTCTACAGACGACATGTCCTAACTGTAAACTTGGGTAAGTTGTGTGACCTGAGCATCCATTTCTCATCTATTTAAACAGTGGTGATAATGTCATCCACTTGGGAAGTGTGTTGAGCGCATGTTTGTATAGGACTCAGCACAGACCTTGTCTCCCCCAGTTCTGCAGGCTCTTACTATTCAAGTCTTCAGATTTGGGGAGGGGAGGATCATTGAGCTTCTCCGATAACTATCACTTCCATCAAATTACATTCAGGCCACTTAAATAGTTGAATCGAAAAGTTTTTTAAACCTTTACCTAGTTTATCTCTAACCTACATTTCTTTCTGCATTAATTTTGTTTCACCTGTGCATTTTTTAATTCTTGCCACCCAGCCTACACCCAGCCTCTCCTAAACCACTCTCTTAAAAGGCTCAGTCCACCTCTGGCATTTGCCATTGCTGACCACCACTTCTTTTCTGGCACTTGTGGTCTCTTCTGGGCCACACCATCTTCACTTGCTCCCTTTTATTTCCCTTGATGACTCTTTTCCATTGTTCCTTCTGTGGCTCACATCCTGCCCCGTTTACTATACCGTACAGCTTGTCATTTTTATAGACTCATGGGGATTAGTCGTGCATACCTAGATCCTAGTTTGTAGCTGCTTCCTGCTTTACACTTGGCCCCCTAGTTGTGGACCCTCTTAAGTTTCCTTCATGAACCACTGCCCCTCAATACCCTAAAGTCTAGACCATGTTGTGTCATTCCTTTGGTATAAAATGTCACCGATTACCCACTGTTTACTGAAGGGAGGGCACACTCTTCACCAGTGTTTACACCTCTGTGAACTGGCCCAGCCAAGTGAGATTCTGAGATTTTTTTTTTTAATGATTCTGACTTGTTAGAACAGATCAGAAATAGTAGCAGAAAGGGTTTGTCATGCAGTCCGGCTTCTACTGGTCCTCAGCAGGGAGGAAATTTGCAGGAGATGAATTACTCAATCCTTCACAGACCCTCAGACTCTCACTTGGACGCTTCCCCTTCTCATACCTGTGACTCAGGCACACAGGACTCTTCTGTTCCCTGACCTTTTCCTTCATTTTTTTCAGTGTCTCATTTTCACATATTGCTTGTTCTCTGGAATGCTGCCTCCATCATCTGCCTGTAGAGAGACCAGCTTATCTCGTGGCACTCTCGTTTTCCACACTCTGCTTTTCCTTTCCCATCACTCCCTTAGCAGCTCCTGGGCCTCTTTCCACAAACTTTGCCGATTGTAGGTGGTCTGCTACAGCCCAGCCACGTGCTGTTCAAGGGCAAGCTGGTTCATAGCCATTGTAGAACATCTATTGGCTGTGCGTGCAGCTGCTCAGGAAATGGTCACTCAAATGGAAAGCAGCCCTGTGTGGTGTTATGCTGGAAACAGTTTGATCTTAACTGCCAGGTGGGGATGTGGTTTGGGAGCCCAGGCTTCCCGTTCTCAGTGCCTCTCTCCCATGGGGCTGTGCGGGGGTCTCTTTTCTCCTCAGCCAGGGCTGGAGGCCAAGATCAGTCCTTGAGGATTATTGTCAGGGCTGCCATGAGCTGGGCAGTCCTGTTTTCCTACCTCAGACATTCGTAGTTGCTGGGAGCCCCTACTTGATGGGTATGCTGACCCTACAACCAGACTAGGGCCTTAAGTGACAGCAGTGGGCCTGGGGCCTCTGGCTTTCCATGGATACTGCTAAGTTCTTAAGAGCCAACCCTGGCCTAGGTTACCCCAAAAGTAGCCTTGTCCCCTTTCTGTTAGCCCCATAGGCAGGATGTATGCAGACCCAATAAGTGGTCACCTACCGCAAAGATGCCTGTGAGTGGGGCTCACACCTCCTGCCTTCCTATTAAAACTGCTTTGACCCCAGTGGACGTTATCAGGATGAAGGTGTGCAGAAGCAGGACTTACGTTGTATAATGGCATCAGGGAAGCTCACCATTTTTCCCTGCCTGGATTGACTTGGGTGCCAGCCAGGCCCTCCCATCCATCGGCTCACTTCTGTTTCTCCTGCACAGGGTCCCATACAAGATTGCAAGGCGGGGGGTGGTGAAGAAGAGCCGTGAGTGGGTACTGGAGAAGAAAGATCGCTGCAGACGTCAGGGCAAGTGAGTACTTGGGCTGGGGACAGGCTACTGGGGTGGGGGTTCTGTCTGTGCCACTAAAGGCTCACCAAGGCTCACCTGCATTTGAAGGAGTCCCAGGAGTTCTTTGTTTTTTCTGACTCTTCTTCCTATTTGTTATTTTCTCACCACAGGGAAGTCAGACCTGACACTCAGTACACTGGACGCAATCGCAAGCCCCGCTTCTAAGCAGTTAGCTGCATCCAGTGGGACAGCTTGGGGTCCACACATTGTGAGCTGTGCCATTCAGCCAAGGCAGTTGCCTCTGGAAAGTTTTCTATATTGAAGTGCCTACTTCATTAGCTGACAAAATTGTTTTAGAAAAGTTTTAAAAAGTTCTAAGTGTTTTCATTAAACGAAGTTCTGAGAGCATCTTATTTTGTTCTAAAAGCAATAAACCACTTTTTGTGGAACTCTGATATTTTCCAGCTCTGATCCTAAACACATTTCTAAGTTCCTGTGTTGGTGCGGGTTACTACTTGATTGCACAGATATGAATTAGATTTAAAAAACTTAAATGTATGAAAGTACTTTTTTAACCTATAAGGAACCTAGGTAGATTGCTTTAATTTAGGGTTTCTTAAAACACTAGGCAAAGTTGGGAAGGATGGGCAGGGTGAAATGTATCTGTGGTACCTGTTGGCCTGAGGCCTCTGCCCAGTGTCTGGTTTCCCTCTGGTCTGAAGGCATTGTCCAGCCCAGTGGTCTGGGTTGACTTTTATCTCTGAGCTGCATTGGCAGTTGCCGACTAACCCAGCACTTGCTTGTCTTGGCCTGTCTTCTGTCTGATCACTAGTGGTCAGAAGGCAGGCCCTGCCAACACTGGGGGGGTGTGGGGAACTGTCTAGCACAGGGATTCCCAACCCCTGGGGCCGTGTGGCCTGTTAGGAACTGGGCCACACAGCAGGAGGTGAGGGACAGGCCAGCAAGCAAAGTTTCATCTATACATGCAGCCACTCCCCAGGTCTAGCATTACCATCTCAGTTCCACCTCAGATCATCAGGCATTACATTCTCATAGGAGCACCAGTCCCTGGTGCCAAAAAGGTTGGGGACCACTGGTCTAGTAGACTGATAAGATGGGCCCTCTGGGTACTTGCAACTTCTGAGAAAGTCTGAGATCTGAACCCAGTGTATAGAACAGACATCAGGATTTGATCAGGAGTTGAGACATTCAGGCTGTGGTGGAAGGGCCAGAGGGGTCTGGAAGTCGAAGGCTGAAAGAGGAGATTAGAATCCTTTGCCTCTGAGCCCCTTCCCCTTAGTGCTAAACACATTCACCCTCAAGTTCTAAGGCCATGACATTGTAAGAAACTTAGAACGGAGGCATAGTACAGATACAAATGTTTAATCTACATAAAAATTTCACAAAATGGGCAGCTGGTTGTACCGAGACCTTTGGTGAAGGGGTCAAGGAGGGAAAGGAAGTCGCTGTTAAAGGCAATACGGACAGTGGTCACAGTCACTGGGCAGGAGCAAAGCTGAGGGAAGGTGGGCTTGGACATGGCCCCATCCCCTATTGCATGCACTTGCATGCACACTCCTTGCCTATCAACAAGGAAGAGGGGTCTTGAAATGGTGATACGTTTGACTTGAGAAGCCCCAGGATGGTGGGGAGGGAGGTACTCCCTCCCTGGCTGGCTGCTGAATACTGCATCCAAGACACCTGACACTCGTGGCACATCAATGTGAAACAGCAAGGGCAGGATGTGATTGCAGGCCTGAAGTGGCATCTGACTTGCTGGAGCACAAGAGAGCAGGGACCAAACATGCAACACAATGGCTTGAGGACCCCGCTAAGGCCTGCTGGGGAGAATGGCTGGCCCAGGCTGCAGGCTTGACCTGACTGGGGCCTGCTCTGCCTCCGTAGCTCCAAGGGTGGCTGAAGACCAGGTACTACTAGTCAGCCTCTCTTCCAGAATTTTAACCTGGAGTCAGGCACAGCCCAAAGGGATTGCTCCTGGGACTGTAGGAATGTGGGAAGGGAGGTTGAGGCAGCTGAAGACCTGTTGGACTCCGTCCCTAGGTAGGGGAGGGAGCCTGGTCTTGACATGGCCAGGAGCCACTTGGCCACGGTACCCTGAGCCTCCCTGGCAGTGATCAGCTATTAGAGGCTTAGAGCTGGGCTGTCTCTCAGGGCTATCCTTCCCCTAACCTGAAAAGCAGCACCATGTGGCCAGCTGGTCCCTACCCCTCAGGGGGCTGGGCTTAGGGGGACAGCTGGAGAGAACAGGGCAGATGGGTGGGTCAGTAGGAGGCAAAGTTGGAGTACAAAGAGCCTTGATTCCCAGAGAGGGTAGACCACAGGTCAAGAGTGGAATTACTGAAAGCAGGGGAAGGGAAGCATGGCTATCTTGGGCAGCCCTGCTTGGGAAGGGTGAGGTGGCCAGGGCCCGGGTTTGTCCCTTGCTGACCCATCCTCATCCTGCTGGCTTTTTCCCAGCCTAGCTCCCCTGTCTCTTCTGTACAGACGCACACTGTTACAAAGATCATGCACACAATGGCTCAGGGCAGGGTGGGTATGGAGGTTCCCATGGCAGTGAAAGGAGCATTATGGAGTGAGAAGGTGGGGGCTCCAAGCCAGAGGATGGCAGCAGCCAAGGGGGCCTCCTCAGGGTGGACCATCCAGAGTGGAGTGGCAAGTAAGGTGATTTCTATCCAAAAATGCCTCCAAAGATGGAGGCAATGACAATGCCCAGGATCACACAGCAGATGATGATCATGATCTTCTTCTGCACCAGAGAAGCAGGAAAGAAAGGCCTCAGTGTGGGAGTGGCTGGAGCTGGGAGGGAGACTGGGCCTCTGGGCAGAGCTTTGAGGGGCTTGGGCTGTTGGAGAGGGGACTGGAGAGGGGGCTGCCGAATGGGAAGGGAAGGTGATGGCCTGAAACTGGTTTGGGGGGGTTGTTATAATGAGGCACTGAAGGCCTGGGAGACTTGGGTGAGGCTGTGCTCAGCACAGAGGTGGGATAGAGGCAGAGTGGGGAGAGATCTGTAACCACTCAGGTGGGTGGGGTGGGGGTAAGTTTGGGTAGAGTTAGGGATTCTTACCCGGCGTGCCTTGCTTTGGTACTTGACTGCCTTCTTGGTGTCAGACACAGCCCTCTCCACATAGTCCACTGAGTGCTCCACATTGTACTCGATCCTGTCAATCATTTCCCCCTGCAGAGCCAGGGGCGCCCGAGTTCCAGATGGCCCCGCTTAGGGTCAGGATGGGCTTTGGGAAGGACTTCGGGAAAGCATCCTGAGGTCAGAACAAAGTGGGGTGTGAGGAGGATGGGGTACAGTTTCTCATCTATGCCAGGCATTCTGGGCAGCTCCCGCCTCACCCCATAGAGCAGCCATCTTGGGAGGGAACTGGCCATGCAGTCTCAGCCAAGGGTGTGGGGATCATGCAGAGAATGCTCAGCTGGGACCCTGACCATTGGTGCCAGACAGAAGACAGTGCTGGGCAGATGAAGGCAGGGACAGATGAAGGAGTGGGCTAGAGTCGGCCATAGCTCATAGGTGACCATGGTGAGCCCCTCATTCCATCCTCCTCAGGCATGATGGTTCTGTCCAGCTGTCTTCTGTCTTCAACCTTAAGACCCTCCCTGCCCAGCTCCACAGCACTCTTGGGCACTGCAATCTGGTCCCATGCAGCCTGCAGAGGCCACTCCGACCATGACACTGCCCAAGACTCCCAGCAGTGGCATGCTGACAACTGACAGCTCTAAGTTCACTGCTCCCATGGGTGTCCATGTCACCATAGTCTTTCACTCGATAGCAACAATGGCCTTTTCATGGCCTCTGTGCTTCCCAACTCGGGTCACGCCACTCTTATACTTCAGACCCTCCAATCTAGAAAAGACTCTAGGTGCCTAATACCTGCCAAGGCCCCCGTCTACCTCATCTCCAACTGCCTCTCCTTTCTCCTCCTCAAATAAGGACCATGATATTATTGGTCCCTCTGCCTGGGCCAACTCTTCACTTTTCCCCTGAGAAGTCTCCAGAGCTCAAACACCACTCCCTCAGGCCTTCCCTAAATATTCCATCCAAAGTGGCCGCCTCAGTGACTATCACAGTAGTACTCCAAGTATGGCTCTTAGACTAGGAGCATCAGCATCACCCTTGAGCATGTTAGAAATGCTAATTCATGGGCTCCCACCCCAACCTACTAATCTCTGGGAATGGGGATCCGAACAGGGAAATTTACAAGAAAACAAGTCCTCCAAGTGATTCTTGGGCACTTTCAAGTTTGAGAACTGCCGCTCTATCACAATGCCACCTTCTAATACCTCCTGAGCACCTTGCACAACTGGAGAATATTCCAGTTGTCTTTACTTATGTTGCCCTTTCACCCAACAGACATTAGCTCCAGGAAGCAGGCCTTTAACTGTCCTGGTCACTGCTATACTTCCAGCTCCTAGGAAATGACCAACCACAGTGCCCACATGACAAGACAGCTGTGGATGAGTCAGGACAAGGTGGGTTGGGCCATGCAGGGCCTGAGTCCTGGAGGGCAAAGCAAAGCCATGCATTGCCTAGAGAGGGTCCTTCAAGGTGGGTGAGTCCTTGGGGGCAGTTTTAACAGGTGGTTAATTACCTGAAGACTCGGTCCCTCCCAGGTAGGGCAGCATGTCGGGCAGAAATGGTTGGGGTTAGTGCAGCCCTGGGTGTTGCTGTGGGCTGGTGGTGGGGAGCAGTAGGGCCCTGGGCACTCACCTGGCTCTCCACAAGCATGGCCATGTCCATGAACATGTCGTGCAGTTCACGGATGCTGTTCTCCAGCTTGATGATCTCACTGTGCCGCGTCTCAATTTCGCTCAGGGCCTGCTTCGAGATACTGGAGTCCATGATGATCTAGGAGATGGGAGCAGTGGGCTGAGACCCAGGTGCCTTGAGGGGACGGGGATGGGGACCAGGACAGCAAGAGGCCAAATGCGAACACAGCTGGCATGGGCAGTGGCCTGAGTAGAATGCCTCAGCCGCAGCCCTCCCTCCACTTTCTGTTCGGCTCTTACTAGCTATTACCTAACTTCTCTGAGACTCGATTTCCTACCTATAACACTGCCTACCTGTACTTGGTAACTGCTAAGTAGTACTTATTACCAGCATTGTACAGAACCCAAGAGACTGCCCAGTGGATCCAGGCCTTGAACTGCCTTTCTCCCATCCCTTCTCCTCCTGTTCTTCCTGCACTGAATGTAGCTGCTTGTCCCCTCTCTCCTCCTGGAACCCATGTCCTTAAACTGCCTCCCTACTTGTGTGCCATCTACTTCAGGAAGTCCCTTGCCTGACAGAGCACAGAGCTTCACTTGAATGTAGGGACAGCCAAGGGCACTGTGTCCTCCAGGAGGGGAAAAAGGTCCTGAGGATGGTGGGAGGAGGCCCTAGCCAGTGGAAATGGGTAGGGGTAGCAAGGAAGTGGACCCAACTGGGAGAAACCAGGAGACCTTTGCCACTAACATTTATATGACCTCGACCTGGTCTCTCTCCCTCTTTGGGATCTGGCCTTCTCTAAAACCTGCTTCACTAGGAAGCTGTGTCCAAAACGGTCCAGATCAAGCATTTAGCTCATACACCAGGGTCATGGTATGAGGGCACCCTGTGGGAGGGGTGGTGTCCACACTCACTCCAGAGGCAAAGATGGCCGGGTTCCCACTCTCCAGCATGTCTTCCAGCTCCTCACTGGTTGTGGTCCTGCCAGCTGCAAGCAGGGGTCACACTGAGCACAGCCCTCCCCAGGGAGTTCAGCCGGGGCCTGGCTCTGACCCTCAGCCCCAGCTCCACCCCCTCAGCTTACTGATCTCCAGCTGCCTCTGGATGCGGCCCTTGCAGCGCTCCCGATAGTCAGACTGTGTTGCGTTGTACTCAGACATGACCTCCACAAACTTCCGGGACAGCGTAGAGTGCTGGGGATCCGAGATAGGGGTGCAGGTGTCAGGCCCAGCCCCACAGGGTCCCAGAGCCTCAGACACCAGCTGCCTGCCCCAGAGTCCCAGCCCACACCTGCGTCTTCCGGATCCTTAGGTCAGCAGATGAGCGATTCAGGCCTTCTTCCTGCTCAATGCTTTGCTCGATGCCTAGGGGAATAGATGGCTGCTAAGCCATAATCTGCCTCCATTCACCACTGACCCCCAACCCACACACCCAGGATCTGGCTCAGGACCCTCCCACTAGGGGACTCGTGTGGCCTATGAGGTCACACCAGAAACAGCAAGAGGGAAAGCCAGGCACTGATGGAAGAGGGGCAACAAGGGCTTTTCCAAGCATGATGCATGTATAGGTGTGTGCACATACGCACACCTACTTGTGAGGCCTCAGGCACACACCAAGCTGTGTGCATGTGAGCATGTGCTATATGCTAGGCCTGGTGGCTCAAGCCCACCTGGTCTCTCTCCTGCTCAGAAAGGCTGTATACCCAACAAGGTGCCATGCCCTGAGTGGTGAGGGCCAGGGGCTGCAACATGTGGGGCAAGTGGCTCCTAGGTCTGCATTCTGGATGTGTATGTCTGTGCTCACAAAGCACATGCGGGTTTCTGTCTGGGACCGAGCAGTTCTGGCCACTCCTCTAACCCTCTTTAGGTAAAGTGGGGGACAGTGCCCAGAGTAGAGCACTCCCCAAGATGAAGCCTCAGGCATCTGTCCCAAGGCCCAGCCCAAAGCCTGGCACAAATAGGCCTGCCAAGTAGCTGCTGAGTGAATGGCAAATGATGGCAGTCTCATAAAGGAAAGCAAGATCCAATGTACCCCCTCAGAGCTGGTGAAACCCCGTGAGCTACATGGAGGAAGCAGGCCTCTGGTGCCTCCCACTCTAGACAAGACTAGAGCCCAGACTCACTCTTCAACTTGGAGCGCACTTTGTTTGCTGTCTTCTTTATGTCAGACATGAGCTCCTCCAGCTCCTCCTTCGTCTCTGGGGAAGCAGAAGGGTAGGGGTTGATACCCTGGATTCCCCAATGCTGATATTGAGGCCCATTGATGGGGTGCTCTGGGAAGACCCTGCGTCGTGGGTCTCCCTTCTTCCCTGGCTAAGGCTCTGCCTGCCCCTCCAATCCTGGGCCAGGGCCATACCAGCTGCAGCTTCACACCCTCTTGTATTGCCTTCCAAGGAGCCTCCCTTTTTCTTTCACTGGCTTCCCCACCCCCTGCAGATAACAGATGGGTCTAAATTTAAGGCAGAAATAATTGTAGAGCAGCTGGTGATGCTAGAGTTGGCACTGGGGAGCATTTACTTGATACTTGCTTGAGTCGAAGGTGGGGGGTGCAGGCTCACCTAGCATTACCTGGTGGTAAGCATCCAGCCAGTGGGCTGACAGGGCCAGGGGCCATGGAGACGGAAGCGTCTCCACGTCAAGCACCCTGGGTGGGGCAGACCTTTATCTACTCACAAAGCCCTTTTCCCCAGGTGCTGAGCTCAGTGGATGCCAACTACTAAGTGCCCAGTGGGTGGATGAGGGCAGGAGGCACCTGGCCTGAGTGAGAGCTGATAGAGAAGAGCTTCAAAGAGGTGGGCCCCCTGGAGTACAGTTGGCCCTGGAGGTAGCAGGCAGCTGGGCCTATGAGAGGGTGAAGCTGGACCTTGTTCCAACTAGAACTATCTCCCTGAAGCTTGCAGAGGCTATGGGGGTGCTTAGCTTGCCCCATTCCCTGTGCGGGGTTACCTGGCAAAGTGGAGCAATGTGGCTGTTTCCTTCTGGGGTGCTTGGTGGAGCAATGGGCCCCAGCCTCAGGGCAGCCCCCAGGACTCCACCCTCTGGAGAAAACACAACTGAGCTCCTGGCTGCAACCTTTCTCATCTGCCCTCTGCTTGCCTCCAGTGCTGGGGTTGCTTCTGTAGGGGACTGGGGAGGGGTGTTTACAGTAGATGATCAGGTGGGGCCACTCCCAAGTGAGGTGGAGTGGAGGGCTTCAAGGGGTGGAGGAGAATGCCTCATTTGTATGAACAAAGGAAAACTTGGTTACCAGCTGCTCTGACGTCTCACCCTTTTTAGTTCAGACCCAAAATAGCCCAGCCGGATGGCAGCCCCCAGAGGAGGCAGAGCAAGCCTCAGCCCAGGAAAGCCCCCCACTTACTGCCATCTTTCCCTGTGATTCCTCCTTAACTCTGCTCATCTCTGCCCTAGAAGCGTTACCTTTACTCAGCCCACACCAGTGAGCTCCTGACTGCTCCGCTCACAGGTGGCAATTCTGAACTGGTCACTACTGACTATATGACATGGGGAGAAGTGCTGAAGGTGGCACAAAGAAGCTGAGGGGAGAAGCTAGGCAGCTCTGCTGCCCCATGCCACCCCACCTTCCAGCAGGTAAGAGGCTCTTTATAGTTCCTGCCCTGCAGTCACCTTCCTGCTCACCAGGAGTTACCCACCGAGGACACACACTGACCCAGATATAGATGGGCACACAGACAAACCATGTCACGTGTTGCCATTCCAGACAAGCCTCTGGGAAGAGGAGTGAAGCATGATGACTGCACTGGATGTATGCCCTGCTTGGGGTGGTCCCCTTCTTTCTACCCCTTCCTCGGACAGTTACTCTGGCTCCCAGCTGACTCATTTTGCCTTATAAGAGCCTGGCTCTGAGCGGTTGGTGTGGCATTGGCCTCGGGTTCAAACACACTTTGGGGGTGTGAAGAGATTTTTTCCTGGATGCTTGAAGATGCCTATGGGCCCGGGAGTGAGGGGCCATAGACAGGGAGGTAGTGCTAGAGATGATACTGAAAGGAAGTCCTAGGTGCCGTGGGTGGCAGGCTGTGAGCTCCGGGCCCTGTCACTGCCTCCCTGGGGCTGAGGGTAAGCCCCCTCCAAGGGAGGGGACCTCGGGCCTGCAT